TCTCCCGTGTTCTGGAGCATGCCAACCGTGGCGTGGGTGCTGGATATGCGCGTGCCTGCAGGACAGTTTCTGGGGAGATCATTTTTGGATTTCGTTCCACAAGTCTGAGAAGCTTTCTTCAAGTCGCTAATGCGCCTCTTCCCTCTTGCTGCATTCCTTCCCCAGCTGCCTGCACCACTTGGTTTTGAATTAGGTCTCTTTGACCCGTGTTCTGGAGCATGCCAACCGTGGCGTGGGTGCTGGATATGCGCGTGCCTGCAGGACAGTTTCTGGGGAGATCATTTTTGGATTTCGTTCCACAAGTCTGAGAAGCTTTCTTCAAGTCGCTAATGCGCCTCTTCCCTCTTGCTGCATTCCTTCCCCAGCTGCCTGCACCACTTGGTTTTGAATTAGGTCTCTTTGACAAGGGTTTTGACTTTGCTTTCAGTTCCATCACAGAAGCCCTCTTGGAAATACGAGAGTTTATGGGAGACCGTGTCAATTTCAGATCCCTTCCAGCTCTAACCTTTTGCTTGGACTTTCCAACTTCCAGAGCACCAGTTTTACATGTTCCCGAGGGCTTCACATACGGCTTTTGTGCAGGCTGTCTTGCAAGACTGAGCATTCCAACTGCCTGTAATTTCACTGGGTTTTGCCTCACAACACTGGGATTTAGACACTGTTTTTCTGCACCTGATTTCTTGGGTAGCTGAGTCCTAGAAACAGCAAATATCTGGGAAGGAGGCACTGACCCTCTGGCTTTGCTGCTTGGTCTTTGAGGACACACGACTTTAGAACCAGGTGGAGATTTTGCAAGTTTATTCCGAATCAGTTCCTTAGTGGCCTGACGGGTAATAATTCTATCTTTCAGACTCACGTTGTTCCGTGGAGCTCTGCCCAAGGTATGCCTGTGAACCAAACCTCTTTTACTCTCTGGATTGTTTAAACCAGTCCTCAGTTGTACTTTGGGGTCCAGCCCAGACTCTGACCTGTTCTCGGAAGATTCCAGAGTGGTTTTACTAGGAAGGTTTTCCTTCTCAAGGTCTACCATTTCTTGCAAATTCTCAGATACCGAGAGGTGCTCTCCACATTGGGAATCTTTTCCATTCTGGGTCAACACTACAGCCCTTTGATCTGTAACTGTCCCCTGATTTTCAGATTTTCCAGTCTCTTGTATTTGATTTGCAGTCAGCTGCACAGCATGTCTTCTGTCTGGCAGGAGGTTGGGAGGTACCCTCTTGGGCCCCTGGGACACAGGCACATTTGAAGACCTGTGTTGAAGAGCAAGACGTACATTTGGGTTTCTGACAGCAGGTGCACGATCCTTTGGTATACACTTGGACACTTTGGAGGGAACATCCTTCTTGGGTCGGACAACCTGAGGAAATGGATAAACGTCAGCCTTAGAAAGGAGAGGAATGAACACAACCCACCACCCGATTCAAAATCGGGCCAGGAGTTCATACTTCATATACATAGAGAACTAGTTCTGCTTTGTTTGCGGTCACGGGGCCCCTCTCTCTAGCACACAGGCCCTGTGGCAGCTGTTCGGGTGAAAGAGTAATGGTCACGCTGCCCTGACATTTTCAATGCTTGGACCTCTCCATAACATGGGTCTTGAAGGAGACCCAGCTTTTGAGCAAACTCTGATCTTCCATGCAAATGAGGCACCGAGCGTATCAACTATTAAGAGGCACAAGTGTCTAGCAAATAGAGTAGTCCTTACAGGAGGGGGTTTATGCATACTCCGCGGTCACTTGGCCCAATAAGCACACCACCCCAGAGGTACTGCTGACCAGAAGTCACCAGCTCAAATGAAGTAGGCATGCAAATATCAACAGTGGAATACATATGTTGACAATCACTCAGAAGAGAACAAAAACCCTTCAAAAACACTCAAAGTGGTTTAGTGTTGTTTGGAAGTAGCACACACTTTCAACCCTGAACTTCTGTGCAGCGTTGCTGCCCTGAGACAGAGCAGAGTTCACCCCCAAGAGAACTCTATTTTAACGGTGGCTAGTATGATGATGTTTTAAGGCTGAATTTAATGTGTAGGGACTAGACATCTTCAGTATTTGAAATATATTTGGTAAGGAAAGATTTGTATTTAATTGCTTTTTATGCCAAGTTAGCCAGCACTCCATTGCCACCAATCTCATCAAGGCAAGGAACCCATTTTATTGTGTGCTTCTACAGAGTCCCTAGCCATGCCTGAGCCGATTCCGCCACAAGATACAACACTCCAGAGTCAGAAGAGGAAGGTCTTTTCTACTTACAGGTGCGGATTTAGAAAGTGGTGGTAATTGTGGATTTGGCTGATTGGTCCGGTCCTTTAAATAGGGTCTACAGAAATCAAACAAAATATCAATGTACCAAAGAGAATGTTGGGAGAAAGATAAAACATTAAGCAGCAATTCAAAAGCAGTTTGTGTGTTAGCAGTTTATGAGAAGCTTTTTAACAGCAGAGACCAGGTATGCGGAATTGAACGAGCTATCCTTGTAAGTGGAGCTATGGAGTTTTGCTAAGTGTATCTTACAGAAAAATGTTGAGGTTGGAAACACCCCCATCCAGCCTTGCAGGTACAACAATGGAGGAATCAGGTGCTCTACTGGCCCATTAAAGGGAATACACGCACAAGGAACCCCATAAAATAGAGCTCCTCAGACTTAGCACCTCTGGCGATTGCTTTTCTTATGTAATAGCATAGGATCTTTCCAGCAAGTGGGAAGCAGCTATAGAAGGGGGAAGTGACATCATCACTGGTCCTCCCTCCCCTCCCAGCTCTGGAATCACTTCTGGAGAACAAAGGACTGAAGGCGGGGAGAAGGGAGAAGAGAGGTGGTGCAGGATTGAAAGGAAAAATCCCAGCCTGTGTATGAAGGAACTATGTGGCCACCCCAAAGGGGGAACGGGGCAACCCCCCCAGTGCCCTATGCATCGCCCCTCTCCTGCTCCACCTCTTCACCTGAGCAATGTGGGCTAGGGCATTATAGAGGGGTTTGTGCAGCAGCAGCAGGGATCACCCCCCACCATGGCAGCGGGAGCAGCTGAGTAGCCTGCTCTGCTCTGCCACGCCGCCCTGCTGCGTCCCACTTCTCCGTGGCAGCAGGAAGTACAGTGCCTTGCAGTTCCGGCTGCCACTGAGATGTGCTCAGCGGGCTGGGAGAAGGCTGGGTGGCACAGCAGGCTGCTGGGCCCCTCCTACGCTGGTTGCAGTGGTGAGTGCGGGGGAGAGGGATACCCTGGCTGCTGCTGTGCTGGCCCTGTGACGGGGTGCAGTCACAGATGACTGCTTGGGGCTGTTTCTTGGTGTGCTGATCATGCCAGACACCTGCCTCCTTTCTCTCTGGGGCTTCCCCCCACCCTGTCATGCTGGGCCAGATTTTCTGGTCTCCCCCAGCCAAGGCACAGAGCTGGGGTGAAGAGTAATGCAGACACTGAACTACTCCAGCTCTGGGAGAATGCAGTTTGAGGCCCAGCAACCAGGAATCCAACCCCCAAAAGGGACCAAAACCCCGAATCAAACCATCTTTCTCTGAGTAAAAGTTTTCCAAAGATCTCCTGAGGATGTTTGCCCACTTTATCAATGAGAGAACATGCACACTGATTGCTCCCCCAGGGAACAGTTATTTACAGTGGGCTTGATAGTAAACAAAGGTGACTCTATTGAGTACAAGCTGTAGGATTTAAGTGGTTGCAAGTGAAAATGGACAAAGTAAATCCCACAATTAAAATGAACACACATAGCTAGCTCTAATTCACTACAAAATGTATTGCAGGCAGTTCCTTAACCTAAAGAGTTTGCTCTTGTGCATATTTATACTCATAAGCCAATTTCATAAAGTATGGTGGGGAGGAATCGTCACCCTGGCCCCCAGGTAATTCCATGGGTCACATCCATAGGACAAATGGGGTGGCCACCATGGGGCCCCCAAAAGAATGGGGCCTGTGGCAGCTTCCCTAAGCCATCCAATGGATGGGATGGCTCTGAGGAACTATATCATCAGTGCAAGACAAAGCTTGATTTAAATGCTGTCCATCAGTGATTGTACTTTTATTTCTTGGGTAACGATTGTGATCTGTATGTTTATTACTTAGTCACACGATAGCTTTCTGTGGTTAATACATTTCACCTAACACAATGCATTTTGGCGCACAGTGCTTGGGAAATGTGCTCAGGAACAAGAGGTGGTGCCTGTCCTCTTCACAATGAGGGAAGAGCAGACTGGGTTATCAATTTGCGCTTGTCAAGTTTCTGACCCAGGCAGGACAGTACACTTCTGGAAGCCTAGACCGGGGAGCTGTGTTCATTGTTGGCTCATGAGTGCTTGGTAAAAGCATTCACGTAACAGCTGGATGTGTCCCTGCCTGTGGGTGTCTGTTACGAGCAGTACCTGGAGAGGTTACAGCATCACAGTATGAGAGGGAGCTCAGGATGCTAAGCAAGTACGAGCAGTACCTGTAGAGGTTACAGCATCACAGTGTGAGAGGGAGCTCAGGATGCTAAGCAAGAGGGCTCAGCAGTATCTCAGTTGCAAGTTGAACTCCCAGTATAAGAGCATATTAAGCTTCATGAAAACTAGTGGGACATTACTTGTATTGTTTTCACTTATCCCTGTCCTGTTACAATGTAGTAGCAAACATTTATATTGTGTATATCTGTGTAGCAAAATAACCCATCAAAGGACAAGGAAACCTTGTGAAATAGAAATGAAGAACTTGAACAGAGAAGGACTCATTTCATAGCAAGTGGTCGTTGTGCGTGATGGAGGTCAAAGACCCCAAATGCATTCCTTGCTCTCCATCAAAAGAAAAGCCCACTTGGGTACTGACCCCATCAGCTTGTTTTCTGTGAGAAGCAGCTATAAATACAGATTCAAGGAAAGATCCTTCCACCTTTGGACTCTGACAGGGAAGTGACTAGCTGCAAAGCAGAAATCCCTAGAACAATCTGAGTGCCCAGAGAAGCCTTTTGGGAAACTGGCAGTTTATTCCATCAC